AAAAAAGTTACCTTCTTTTTTTTATTTACCCTCCTTTTTTTTTTTTTTTTTTTTTTTTTTTTTGTGGTACGCGGGCCTCTCACTGCTGTGGCCTCTCCCGTTGTGGAGCACAGGCTCCGGACACGCAGGCCCAGTGGCCATGGCTCACGGGCCCAGCCGCTCCGCGGCATGTGGGAATCTTCCCGGACCGGGGCACGAACCCGTTTCCCCTGCATCGACAGGCGGACTCTCAACCACTGCGCCACCAGGGAAGCCCAACTAAACATAATTTTAACATCTTTGAAATTCACAAAGAAAATGTGTCTCTTGTCAAGTAACCAGAAACCAGAATTCAGCTCGATTTTCATTGTTCACATGTCAGATATTGCTCGGATCCACACCCCCTTTGCAATCAGTGTCATGCATATGTATTCTGAGAGTTTTCCCATTCAGCAAGCAGATTTATAATTCCTCTAGAGACAAGTTTTGTTGCAAAGAACTAGCATCTCTATATGCATAATCACTCCTTTTTTATGTGTGCTTTTGTAGAGTACGCTGGGATGCTCTTTATTTTTATGGACACATTTGAAAGCCTTTGCTTTCAGCATTTATATTAAGGTGACAGTAACAAAATGTAAGAAATTCAATCAATCAATCATTTAAGATTTAATGAGCATTTACAACGTGTTAGTCTGGCACTGAGATCACAAAGATGAGTAAAAATGATCCCTGTGTCTAAACGTTCTTAGTCTAATGAAAAGGAAGATTCATTAATGGACAATTATTTTAAAATGTGAAAGGTGGAGAAGTGATAAAGATAATGGTTTCTTTGCAAACCCCCACTTTGCTTCCCCCACTTAGTCATGGCTCAACAGAAACTGTAGAGAGTAGCTTGGTCTCCTCTCCTGCAAGGATAATCCTGTGGTCTAATGCCACCTGTCCTCCTCTGGGAACTGGACCATGATGGCTTGGGGCAGCCTGAGGGGAGCTGCAGATTCCTACCTGAGTATGCTCTGGAGTTGTTTGTTTAGTCCTGCAACTCACTTAAGGATTTATATGTGTTCAGTCAAGGGGAACTTACAGATTTGATTTGATGTGAAATCATCCAACTCTTATGGTAGGAAACTCAAGCTCCCAAAGGACCCCAGATACAGATCCAGAAGGTGCTTTTCACAAGGCTTTACTTGGGACTATGTTAGGCTGGAGGAGACAGGAAATTCAGGATCTAGAGTGTTCAGGTGATTGTAGGATGGTTGGTGGGGTGTTGTCTAGAATGGGACCTGCTCATGCTATCTTTGCCCTACTAGATTCTATTGACCTTAATCCTCTCTGAATCAGCCCAAGTGGCATTTTTGACAGCAGGGTCATGGTTCCAAGCTCCTTTTTATACAGTTGACAGGTCTGATCCTGTCCTGTCAGCCTTTGCCCCATTTGTAATTCTATTCATATTCATAGTATTTCTCCCACAGTAGGGTTGAGAAAGCAAATTTCCTTTCTTGTAATTAAGGATGTCTTACCGTAAAGATTTCTCGTATAAAGAAATAGCCACAGCATTTAGCTTAGGGCTTGATAGATCAAAGTCCTCAGCAGAAGCAAGGCTGATTGTCAAGGAAGATTCTGGCCCTGCTGGTAGGAGGCCCTGGAGGCTCTCCTCCCAGCAAGAATGTCAGCCTGTGTCTGCACACCTGACATCAAAAACACAACTCTCCCTTCAGTTAGTAGCACAGAATACCTACATTCAAGCTGCTTTAGCCTTGAACTGACTGCTGCTGTCAAATTCACGTCTGGGGAAAATTAATATCTGCAGATCCAGTCTGTAGACTAGACCAGTGCTGGTCAATAATGACCTTTTTTAACTAATCCAAAGTGATGTACAAACTGTAAAGACAGCGTAGCAATATAGCAAGGTTTTCATATAGCTAAATTTATTCAGCTTAAAAGACTCTAAGGTTGTTTTTACTTATCTTTGGTGTTAAAAGTCTCCTTACTAAAGGTGATAGATGGTTATTTTATTTTTAATGTTCCTGTCAAGACAAAATGTTGGCAATTTTAGGTTGGTTTTACAAATTTGAGTGTAAAGTTTTGGTACTCCATGAAATGCTAAGGTTTGGGGACCACTGATCTAAGAATCTGGTACACAGTCATTCTCTAGAGCTTTCTCAAACTTGGTACTTTTGACATTTTGGATCAGATATTTCTTTGTTGCGGTGGGCTGTCCTGTGCACTGTAGGATGTTTAGCAGCATTGCTGGCCTCCACCCACTAGATGCCAGCAACAACCCACCCACCCAGATGCAACAACTAAAAATGTCTCCAGACACTGACAAACTCTCAGGGTGGATTGTAATGGTATATAGGTGGGGTCTGTGATCAATAAGTTTGAAAGTTACTGTTCTAGAGACATTGTAAATTTTATATCATTATATTCATTATTTTCCCATAAAGAATTTTTATTGCAGTAAATGAGAAGTCATGGCAACCATAAATAAATGCAGGTAGCAAGGCAAACAAGGCTATATAAAGTATATAAAATAACACCTTGATTATTTTTATTCTTATGTATATATATATATATATATTTGTCTTACAAAGATGCTATAAAACTTAATTGGTATTGACAAAGTATTTAAGAATACCCAACAAAGCATATTTTACATAGACACAATATTATTACACATAATAATTGCATTTTTATGTCACTTTTCACTTGAGACTCTCAATCAATTGATTTGTCCTCAGTGTATGATTCTCAGTTCATCTCGGGGAAACTGAGGCACAAGCCAATGTTCAACTGACATAATAAAGTCAGGGAATAATTAGGCCTCCTGTTTCCTTTATAATACACTAATCATTTTTACTGTTATTATATGTAGCAAATACATATTTAGGATATAGTAAATATATATTTTATATTTTACCATTTTTTATATATTTTATAATTTTTTAAACATGTATGTTTATTTTTGCTAGGCTGGCAGCCTCTGGGAAGTAGGGACAGGTCTTCAGCTGTGTATCTCTCAGAGCCTGCAGGCTGTGGGCACATCATTTGTGGGCAGCTAGCAGGCATTAGGGAATGCCAACTGCATTAGCTCAGTCCTCCAAAGTTTCATTATAGACTCATGTTTTAATGCTGGGCTTTTGGCTGTTATCTGAGATTGCGGTAAGAAAAGGAACATAACTGCATTTTTTGTAATAATCTAGTTATAATACAACTTAAAATACACGATGGGATAATCAGGCTGCATTCTGACTTTCATGGACACTAATTATCTTTGCCTCCAATTCCTCCAATAAAAAAAAGTTTTAAATGATAGTTTATGACTGCTTTGGTATAAAGATGGATATAATTCAAACTGGATTATATTCTTTTTTTTTCTGATTTAAAAATGATTAACACACTCTCCTGGGCCCCTAAAAGTATCACAAGCCCTGGGCACTGTGCCTGCAGTGCCTAAAAAAGAGATGGGCGAGTAGCATGGACATATATACACTACCAAATGTAAAATAGGTAGCTAGTGGGAAGCAGCCGCATAGCACAGGGAGCTCAGCTCGGTGCTTTGTGACCACCTAGAGGGGTGGGATAGGGAGGGTGGGAGGGAGACTCAAGAGGGAGGAGATATGGGGATATATGTATATGAACAGCTGATTCACTTTGTTATACAGGAGAAACTAACGTACCACTGTAAAGCAATTATACTCCAATAAAGATGTTTTAAAAAAATAAATAAAAAGAGGTGGGCCCTGGAAATAATACATTGAAATGTTAACTGGTGCTTTGCCCCTTCGTTCCTATGCTCCTAGGGAGGTATTCTGGTTTTATTACCTCAGGGAAGAATGACCCAGCAGGCAGCAAAAGAGCCAAATTCTTGGCTTTGGAGTTCAAAAGCTTAGGATTTAGGATTACACCATAGATTTGGAAGAACAGATGAAGAGCTGGGCTGCCCTCTCCCACAGTAGATGAAGAGTTCATGGACTGAAGATGGAGGAGGCCAGAGAAGTTGAGAACATGTGGATTTGTCTGGTATTTAAGAATACCCAACAAAGCATATTTTAGATAGACACAATATTATTACACATATGTCTTATTTTAGAATTTATTTTAGAATTTATTCCGAAAATAGCTACTTCAGTTGTGGGCCACCTCACCTCCTTTTTCCTTTCCTATCCCCAAATCCCTCCTTTATTATTATCCAACCACCCTTGCAGTCAAGACGTTCAGAATATTTTTTTCCTCTTTCATCTACATGTTTTAAGAACTGTTTTTCCTTTAGACCCTCTTTCGGAGCAGGAAGCACTGTTATAAATCCATATGAGTAAATATTTTGCTCTCGTTTTGAAAAACAATTGTAATTAAAATTCATGGTAGAAAAATTTCTAAAGTGGTAAGTTGCCTTTCTAATATACTACATGTCTTATTTTAGAATTTATTTCAGTAACTAATCTACATTATTAAATAAGATTCACTTCATTGGGGTCACTGAATAATTACTGTGGTGGATAAGTATTGTTTTCGTGATACTATTAGTTTTATCACATGTGCTAAATTGTTTTGAGGAAGTAGCCTCAGCATTACTTGAAAAGAGATGGGAAATACATGTCCCAAATCCAGTAAATTTATTATTAGAACAAGGTCGCAAATATAGTAAATTTTCATTGCATAATTTTTACAACATTCAAATGCAATACCTGATAAATAAGCTTTATCCCTTAACAGATTCTAATTTTTTTCTTAAGGCACCGTGACAGAGAAACTTATCCCAAAGATTATGATATAGAGGGTCCTGAAGAAGTAAAAAAACTGTGTAATTCAACATATTGGCGACTTGGAACCAACGAACCCCCAGTAAGTGGTAGCTACTACTACTTACGGAATCTTCCGTAATCTTCCTCTTAGTAAAACATGAAAAAGTAGAGGGAGGAGCACTTTGACAGTGCTCCTCTTAGCTGTGTTAGTAACTTAGGCAGGTGACCTAGCCACTGTGTGCTTCAGTGACCTTACCTGTAAAATGGGTGCACTTCATAAGGTTATTGGAAAATTAAATAAAATAAAGCAATAAAGTGCTTAACTCAATGCCTGGCACAAAGAAAGTACTTAAGAAATTATTCTTATTGTTATGATGCTGTTGCTGCAGCTGCAACATCTTGCTAGATGTCTCCTCTAACCTTCACCATCACCCTGTGAAGTAGGTATTATTATCTCTATTTTACAGCTGGGGAGAATCTCCTAGAGGTTAAGTGATTTACTCAAAGTCACCCAGCCAGGGAGTGGAAGAGTGAGAATCTGAACCCATTTCTTTGGGTTTCAGATCTTTTGTACTCGTCTTAAGGGGATGGAATTGTGAGTAATTTAAACATGCTGTTATTATTCTCATAACATTTGTACAACTAAGTTACAAAAGGAGTATCCATTGCATAGGTACTTCCTATTTGAATTGCTGTGGGTGGGTTACTCCTTGGCTATTTAGGTGTCTGCTCAATCAGTGTGCAGGAACTCAACTCCCTAAAGACTCCCAAATTGTGTCCTACAATGTCAAGAGTTTGGGGACTAGTTGAAGATTCAATTCAACCTCATAGGATGGCCTTGGGGCCTGAAGAGCTGGTAATTTGACAAGGATGGATGTGAATGTGTTGAGAAGACTGTGTTTGTATATCATATTCTGCCCCCAAAAGGCTGGGCTACTTTGAAAAAGGGTAAGCCTAGGAAGATCCATAATTCTACTTTGGGAATGGTTCTAGAAAGTTCTCTGTTCTCCAGGGTGACGGGAATGAATTAGCTTAGCAGAGTCCATGCTGTTTCCTCCCTTCCTGTTATAGTTTACCATAGAGAACAATAAGGATAGCCTGAAAAATGGGAATTTATTATAAAGATACAGCTGCCTGGATATGGAACAAGGACACTTATAGGAACCAAGGTGGCTCTAAAGCAAGACATTCTCTCTCTCTCTCTCTCTCTCTTTTCTCTCTATCTGACACACACACAGTCTCTCTTGGCAACTCTGTTTCTCTCTGCTCTGTTCTCCTCTTGTCCCACAGCTTAAATCTCAGGGGCCTTCTGATGGTTTCCTCAGTTTCAACCCTGCCCTCTTGCCTTTGCACCAGGCTGCCTAATTGGTCATTAGCCAGCACATGGATGGAGCTCTAGAGGCCAATGCCCAACTCAGAAAATAACCACCCTGCCCTGCTCTCCCAAACCCAGCTTACCCTTGTTTTCTTGAGCATGGTGAGGACAAGAACAAGTTGGGCAAGTCAGGCATTGCCTGGCATGCACTTAGCATCTTTGACCCTTAAAAACATTTATTTTTGATAAGTGAAAATCTTCTTGGTCTCTGGATTGTGGGAGGAAGTGAGATGAAGTGAAATATGAGGTGTAGGAACCTCAAATATTCATTCCTTATATTCCATGCATTGTAGCAGTTAAGCCTTAGTTTAACAGAGGATGTATAAATAATATTTACCTTCTTTATGACTTGTTCGTAGTCATTGAAACCTTGTCCTTCCTCTACCAGGTTTACAGTGTGTATTAGATAGGAATGTTACTGAATCAAACTTGGGTCCGCTTCCCAACATGCAGCAAAGCCAAAATTCAGTTTGAAAATAGAGACAGGATTTTGAGAAAGGTGTGCTGTAAGTCTCATCTGCAAACCCCCTTGGGTTCCTGGTGAAGTTATAGATAAGAGGCTCTGGTGATCTGTCTGAAGCAGCAGAGCAGAAAGAAAGGAACTAGCTACATATACATCAGTGGTGGGGCAGGGATAAGTGAGTATTCAGGCCCAGATGTGGCTTTGGAGGATTAGATATGGGCCATGTAAAAGAGAAAGATGACAGGGAGCCATTTTAGAGCCTGCTCAAGAGCACTTCATGTAGGGATGGAAGAGGGATCGACTGTATTCCTATGGGCTAAGACAGGACACTTAAGTGCAGAAATTGGCATCCTGCATCACAGAACATACCATTGAATGTTCCCAGAAAGGCTCTCAGCTTCTATTAGAACACCCTAAGAAAGTCAGCTTTGAATGTCCTTCAGTGCCAGACAGGGTCAGACACAGACATGCCCAGAGGAAACCAAAACAAGATTACATGTCCACTTTTCCTGCATTTGCTTCGCTCCTTCCTCCCGTCCCCTCACCCTCATCTTAAACGCCCAAGGAGCCAGAAGGAGTTAGTGTATAAGGAAGAAGTCCAAGGGGGACAATTGGGAAGAAGCCAACTGAAGCAGACCAGACTAAAACATGCCCAAGGTGGAGGAATGAGAATCTTTCATTTTAAATGAAGTTTTGGCTAGTACGTGGGACTGGGCATTTTACTTACCTCAAAAAGGCTCTTCTTGAGACAGAAGTAGCAAGAAGGTTTTTATCAATATATTATCTGAGAGTGACCAGAAAAGTCCTGGAGCCTGTCCTATATTTCGTCAAAGAGCATATAAAAGAATAAGCCCCTCCAAGTAACTATGAATGGGCAGCGATGGAAGAAGAATAAATTTGTTTTCTAATTGTACCTACTTACCAGTCCCACTTGTTCAATGAGCCAGTTGCCCATTTGTGTGTAAAATAGAAGTCTGTTCACACCTCTCTATCCCTTTCCTTTACTTTAGTTTTCTTCATGACACTTCAATGACTGGACATACTTAAGACCTTTTAGTTGTTAATTGTCTGTCTCCCCCTACTAGAATACAAGCTTCATGAGAGAAGGGACTTTGGTCTGTTTTGTTCTCTGCTGTATCTCCCGTTCCCAGAATGGTGTCTGACACATAGTTGGTGCTCAATAAATATTTGTGGAAGGAAGAAAGGAAAGAAGACTATATTTAACAAACATGTATTGAGGTCCTGTTATTTTGTTAAGTGCTGGGATAAGAAATGTATGCCAAGTTACCATGCTGAGTGCTGGGGTAAGAAACATAATTCAAAGCAAGGTCGCTGTACATCAGGAATTCACAGGCTTATGTGGTTAATGGGTGCCTACAACCACAGTGGCAGTGTGCATGATGGATGATATGATATGAGAAATGTGCATGTGCATGATGGATGATATGATATGAGAAATAAGGATGCTATAAGGGGCACCTGAACTGAAATGGATTGATGGGAGGGTCAAGGCTGACTTCCTAGGGAATTCCCTGGCGGTCCAGAGGTTAGGACTCTGTGCTTTCACTGCCGAGGACCTGGGTTCACTCCCTGGTTGAGGAACTAAGATCCCACAAGCTGAGCGGTGGCACAGCCAAAAAAAAAAAAAAAAAAGATGACTTCCTAGTGGAGGTGACCACCGTGAAGCTCCTGAGGTGAATGCTTAAAGGAACCATCTGTTGGTGGAATCTGGAAACATACTACCTAAGTTTCAGTAGTGGCATAATCGAATTCCTACCCCAGTGGCCTCTCCGGCTTCAGGAGGCTGAGTGGGGCCATGGATTCACAGCAGAGCAGTAATTTAATTCAAGCCACTGGAGTTTCTCTGATTGTCTTATTAGTCCAAGTGATTATGTGAAATAGTGTTTTAAATTCCAGTATTTTGTTTTGGTATTTTATTTGGACTTTATTGAGGTACTACTTAGCTATAACAGAGTGAGTCCCATGCAAATAAATGATCAAGAGTACTTCTATCATTGTTTCTTCATTTGTTAAGTTCCTCATCCAGGGACCCTCACGGCACTACCAAAGGCCCTGTCACAATGACTTACGTAAGACCACTTCTGAGGAAGTGCTGCATGTTGAATCCCATAAACTCAGAAGGACTAAATACAGAGCAGATTTGATGCTGTGTCATAGAAGGTGAGAAATTTTAAATATAAAGGAACAAAGAGGAACCTGAGAAATTTCATTAAACAGATTTTTCTTATACAGCTAATGGATCGATGCCAAGGCATTTTTGGAACTAACAGGACAACACTGATGAGCAAATTAGGCTAGTATTAGTTTTAACAGCACCACAGTCACTTTGGACTTAAAAATGACAAATAAATGAAAAAAGTGTGCTAAAAGTGTACAAATGTGTGCTAACATTCATTTTATGAATAGATGAATACCTAAGTAGGTCTCAAATATGAGCTGTTCTAGTGGATGAAAATACAACATTTAAAAATTAGTGACCCTAGCAGGACAGGAATATAGACACAGATGTAGAAAATGGACGTGAGGACACGGGGAGGGGGAAGGGTAAGCTGGGACAAAGTGAGAGAGTGGCATTGACATATATACACTACCAAATGTAAAATAGATAGCTAGTGGGAAGCAGCCCAATAGCACAGGGAGATCAGCTTGGTGCTTTGTGACCACCTAGAGGGATGGGAGGGAGGGAGGGAGACGCAAGAGGGAAGAGATATGGGAACATATGTATATGTATAACTGATTCACTTTGTTATAAAGCAGCAACTAACACACCATTGTAAAGCAATTATACTCCAATAGAGATGTTAAAAAAATAAAAAAAGAAAAATAGATAGCTAGTGGGAAGCAGCCACATAGCACAGGGAGATCAGCTCGGTGCTTTGTGACCACCTAGGAGGGTGGGATAGGGAGGGTGGGAGGGAGACACAAGAGGGAGGGGATATGGGGATATATGTATATGTATAGCTGATTCACTTTGTTATAAAGCAGAAACTAACACACCATTGTAAAGCAATTATATTCCAATAAAGATGTTAAAAAATAATAAGAAAAATTAAAAAAATAAAAGTCAGTGACCCTAAAAGGGATATAATTATAATGGATCTGAGAAATTCAATTATCATTTATTTAATTGGTTCAGGTATGTTTTTCTTTGATTAACATAGTAGAATAGTATTTTGAGCACTACAATCTTACAGATGCTTCTAGCATTCAGATCCAAGTACCTGAAAGAGGCATATGGATT